GCTCCGTCTTGAACCCATCGCATCAGTTTTACCTCTGAGCCCAACAATTTCTTGTCAACTTCAACAATTGTGTGTTTGATGAGTAAACAAATTCACCCAAGGGCTAGACACTGCACAAAATAAACAAAACAAAAACATTATCCTACACTCAGTTTTTATTTGAGCCCTGATGCACAGCTCAGACTTGCTTTTAGATTAGTTAGGTACTACAATAGAAAGATTTCTAGGGGAAGACCTCAGAGATAATTTAGAATTGTACCATGGTCTAATTTTTTATTTACCTTGAAGTAAAAGTCTGTTTTTTTTCTCAGCAGAGGATGTTCTTATTTTTAACAAAACTAACAGTATACGTAAAAACATTTTCCCCTTGATTTTGAACAAGAACACTTCACAGTTAAATAGTGTGTAGGAGGGAAGGTGGATGGAGATGGCATCGAAAAAGAATTTATCAAAAGGGATTTCTTAAAGTAGTTAAAGTCTATTATTACTTAGATTAGCCATTCATACAAATCCGTTTTCTGAAATATTCAATAAATACAACATTATTTGGTGCCTATCCACATGACAGTCTACCATGATGTTTCTGTTCTACTTGTGTCCTACCACTGGACCAGTCTCTCAACTGTTCCATCTGACGGTCTACTAGTCTACTACAACCTTCAATACTAAACAATACAATTTCCCTTGCGATTAAACAGGCTTGGGACTGTCATTTTTAGTGGCTGCAGCTTGTTTGATTTGGGAGTTTGGGGAATATAAGGCGGGTGGGGGTAAGGGGAGGTAAAATAATATTTTTTTCCTACTTTAATTCATTTTAAAGTTATTCGGTAGAGTCGGAAGTGCTCGGTTTGATAGTATGTGCCGCCTACAAAGCCTTGCTTATTATTATTATGTGAAGTGGAGGGCCGCTCACATAGCCTCGATGCTATGCATACCGGAGGGCCGTAGTATGCATAGCCGCGAGGGCGTATGGGAGGTATGCATAGCCACTTTGAATAATTCATGAAGGATATAGGACAGTCTAAACAATCAGAATCATAACACACAAAAATAAAGAACAAGAAGAAAAGTGAGCATTTGAGACATATAATTTCACTCTAAATAATTAATAATATAAGAATACACCTGAGCCAAAGATTAGAGCGAATAAAAATGTTTGAGTCTATAATACCAACAAAAATTATTCTATGCTTGCTCAGTATTTGCCAACAGATCTATACCTACATTAATTTTTTCAATTAAGGGAAGACCCACAAAAATGTTAAAAGTGAAATAACTATCGCCAATAAAACATTAGAAGAGAGAAAAAATGGTAAAAAATTACTTTCACTCAGTCCCCACACACAGACGCACAGCTTTGGGGGTCTAACTGCAGTAATTTCTGCTGCAGATCACACGACCACTTACTTAAGTACTAAAACTTTATAAAAATCAATTATATTCAAGAAAATTTCAACTTAAATTGCAAAAAAAAAAAAAAAATGTTCATCAAATTGTTGCGGAAAGAATGTAACCCCCCCCCCCCCTATCTGAGGAAGGCATGCCCCCCCCCCCCTGATTCCTGGTCTGGAGCATGGAAATTACCACACCATAAATTGGGAATAGATAGACTAGATAGTTAATTATTTGCAACGAATAGAAAGTCAATATTCCAGTAAAACGGATAAAAATGAACAAAAACCACAGGGCTTTGAAAGTAGACCTAATCTAGATATCCTAAACGAATTTCAAGTCAAACTGACAGTGTTGCCAGAGTATCAAGTCACAACCGCTACAACTTTAGTAATTTTTAAAAGGCCGGCACTATTTCTCCAAACGCTCGGGAAAATAAACTTAACTCCATTTCTTCTAATGGTTTCCGTTCTCGAGATTAGTTGTTAATTTGCGAATTGAGTGGCCCGCACGCACATATGTGTGTGTGTGTGGGTGTGTGTGTGTGGGTATGTGTGTGGGGGTGGGGGTGGGGGTGTGAGTGTGCGTTTGTGTGGATAAGGGGTGAACGAGGCGTGGGGGTGAGTTGGGGGGGAGGGATTATTATTTTGTTTGTCTACATGAAGGCTGAACGGTTTTAGTTTTTGCTTTAGGATGACAAAATACAAAACAGGCTACTGCCAATGTCGAGCAGTCTTGTTTTCTTGCAGTACCTTTTGAAGGTATTTTCAAATGAAGTGTATAGAGTCCGCGAACGCTGCCCCAACCACAATTGAAGTACACAGACTCGGTAAATCTCTAGTCTGTCTCTACAAATTGAATTCGATGTAAAAAATGCTACTTCATCTCAATCCTCGCAGAATGGCAGAATGAAAGATGACGCTTAAATCTTGCAAATGACAAAAAAATCTCAAGAGAACTGAAATCGTGTGGAGAAATAGACACTATAGAGGTGTTGAAAGTTTATAATTTTCCCGACTGTTCGGAGAAATAGTCACTTTATTAATAAAAAAGGAAGTCGCTTTTCTCACCCTGGGTGAGAATAAAAATAAAGCGACTTCTCACCCCGGGTGAGACTTGTGACCTTGTCGGCACTGGCTTTTCTCACCCGGTGTGAAACACAGGGTTCCTGCCATGAACTTCCCACCAAATTCAAGGAGATTTCAAGGAGATTTCAAGGAGGTTTCAAGGAGAAAATTTCAAAATTCAAGGAGATTTGGTCAAGAAATTCATAACAAAAGCCTATTTTCGAAGGTCTACACTTGTCCGAAAAGAATCATATCATAGTTTCGATTTCCCTACAAAAACTGTTCGCAGGGTGACTGCCAACCCGGCTTCTCAATTTTCCGGTGGGGTGGGGGGGGGGCGCCTCATCCATTCTCCAGGGGCATGTTACATAACAATGACAGTGCATGCTTCATTTATATATTTATATATTAATATATATACACACAGAATGGTGTGCACGCACGCATGTAGGTACATTCCAGTCAGCAACATGTCAGCAGTGTGGCACTGGAATACTGTGACTTAGGTATTTCAGTCAGTTCTTACTTAGTTTATATTTATATTTTCCCCTCATCATATTCCCCCTATATTAAACTATATATAAAAATGAATCTTGCTTTGAGCCTGAGAAAAGGCCTAGAACCAGAATATCCATTGTCAAGAACCAGTTTGGGTGTCAAGGTTTATACAATAAACGTGAAAGATAAAACTTATTACTCTAACTATTTAAAGTAGAGTAATAACATGAACGTCTCAAGTAGACCTATTCAGTGTGAGAGGTGTAAAAACTGTGGAAGGGCAAGATGCAGTGACACTGAAAATCTTGAACAGAAAGCTCAAATATGGAATACAATACATATAATAATTTACTATCACCTCTACCCAATGAAATGGTAACCCTATAGTTACAAACACATGGCTTACAAGGTTTGAGTACGACAGATCCCGATTCCATACAAGGCCTGCACCAACGCGCGCATTGCAGAGAGCTCTAGATCTAGATCGTAGTAATCAAAATTCTGAAAAGTAAAATCTGCTTCCAAGTTTAGTTTTTGTCATCCCCCCTTTCCCCAGCGTGCGACTTTTAAAAAAAATCAATAATCCCCCCATTCCTGAGTCCTATACTCGCAGCGCTCAGACTTTGCAGGAACTTTGGGGACCTCAACCATCGCGATACTCACGATGTGACCCAAAAAAAAATGCACAGGTTCAATGACCGGTCACGATGGCGAGCCCGACAAGAAGCTTGTATAACCTTTTTTTTCTTTCCACAAGTGACAGCACAGGACAAACGATTTATTTTCATGGCGACACAGCGTTTGTAATGCAGAACCTGCATGTTACAAATGTTGCGCTATCAGACTACTATAAGTCCTACCGGCAAATTTCTAGGTGGTAACGAAAGCGAAAGTAGATCTTGATTTTTCCCGATTGAACTTCGGTATCGCACGTCGCACATACACTTCCACTTGTTGCCGCCATAACCACCTGTAATGTACTCTCGGGCCGGGATAGGCCGGATGAATTATATCACAGTCGCGACCGGCAAAAATGAACTCAAGGACGATATCGGATTTCGTTTTCAAATATTCGAGAACGTTTATGTATTTTCCCGGGGCGATTTACAGATTTCTTCAAATTCCCGCTGCATTCCGGGTCTCATCGATTTTTTTCATATGACCGGGTAATTCCAGGGGCCCCCGGGATTCCCGGTGCTTGGCAGTCACCCTGTACACGTGTTCCTGTCCGATCTGGCAAAATTCAAGGAGTTTTCAAGGAGATTTTTCCTTGAGAGCAAATTCAAGGAGTTTTTAAGGATATTTTTCCTTGAATGCAAATTCAAGCAGTTTTCAAGGACTCCTTGAATTCAAGGAGGCCGCGGGAACCCTGGAAACAAGACCTGTTTTTCATAAATTTCTGAATAAATTGTCAGTGTGGATGAGATCAAATTAGCAAAAACAAAGAAAAAAATGATGTTATAGCACAAAATAATATTAATTTGGTCGTCTACAAAGATGCTACGATTGTTTCACTTTTCGAAACGAGCCGAACTACATGGGTCGCCATTTTGCTTTGCCCGGAAGTTCTCGCCACTCCTCTTCTCTCTCTCTTTCTCCCCTTCCCCTCTCTTTCTCTCTCACTGCCCAGAGACAAAACTGCACGCTTTCAACACAAGAGCACTGGTACATATGTTCACGGTGAACGTTGCACTGGTTGGCCTAACACGGTGACGCACACCGAGTGAGAATAGCCAAAAAAAGGCTCACCTGCGCTATAAAGGCTATTCTCACCCGCGGTGAGAAGGTCATGTGCCAGGGGACTACTACATTCATGGAAAAATAAGGACAGCTCTAAAGACAGGTACTAAAGTGAGATTCCTTCAACTTCCCAAGTCAAAAATTTGTTTAGAGAATGACGACAAAAATGTGACAGCAGAGGCCAGAGAGAGAGTGACAGCTGCCAGACTGAATCAAACTACTGGTCTGCTACATTACACGTAAACAAAGAGAGATACAGTCGATTAAACATTCCAGACTAATGAAAGGTGAACTATACTCTACCTTCGCTTTATCAGCACCATCAGCTTTCAATTTTCTCACGAGTTCACCCTGACTCTTTATCTTTTCCTGTAATTTCTTATCGTTATCCGCCATGATTGCAGCAGACTCACACTACAACTACACTGTATGTACTGTGATACACTGTTCCGCATTCATTCAATGCTGTTTAAAAATTGAGACAGGATAACTAATGACTCTAAACTTGATACTTTCATCGTTAAGGCAGAGAATAACTAGTCAATAAGAAAAAATGGGAATAGATTTCACCTTAATGTAGGTAAATAAATCATATCAAGAGTATGAACTCAATATTTTATTCTTCACAATCAAAATATCGTTGTGTTGAACGTAGAGAGTCGTATACTTATGTCCGATAAAACTTTTTATAAATTATCATGGCGGCTTCCATCTCAAGTAGAAAATATGATGAAATAGAGGATAACCGGCATTGGCTTGTTGGAGAAATAAACAATTGAAGAAAAAATAAGAGAATCAGTGACAGATTTAAATAATGTACCCTCTTGAACAGTCAAATAGCTCTCCACTTTTTTGTAAGGATCAATCTGAACGGAGTGAAACGTGTGAAATTTTCTTCACGCCGTCAATTGCTCGAGTTCGTGGTTAGGTTATTTCACATTTCTATTAAATTAATTATAACTTTTTATTTTATTATCTTTTTGTTTGTTTTAGTAGAGGTTTTACTACGCTCGCAACTGCATAAGGTCATATGAGCGCCAAAAGATTAGAGGTGTTACAAGAGAGTAACAAACATAAAAAACAAGAAGGGCGGGTGGACGACAGATGTTTGCTAGGAAAGAAGAAGCAAACCACACCAGAGCCAGAGCACCTGCCAACCACCCACTAATTATCTTTGGAGGAAAAAAAATGTAGTTCTCTGAAATCCGTATGTTTAGGGAAGCTCTTGAAAAAGATTAGATATTTCTTGCATGTAGTCTGAGCAGGATCAGTAGGCCTATATATGGACCTAACTTGCTAAATAGCCTACTATACTAATGATTAAATGAAAATGATTATTACATTTTTATTGTTAAATTAAATATATAGGCCTAAGGCTATACATAGTCTAAGTATTGTAGTAGTGTATACATTTGAACATTTATGCAGCAATTTTTTTGGGGGTGGAGTCTACTTTGGATTTTTGATATGTTGTATCATCTCTGATATTTAAAAAAATTATACAATATATACATATATATATATATATATATATATATATATATATATATATATATATATATATATATATATGTGTGTGTGTGTGTGTGTGTGTATTTTATATATAGAGAGAGATCAGAGAGAGAGGATAGAATTACAATGTATATGTATCAAAATAACCTGACAAGAACTTTGTCCAGAATTCTGACCTCTAACCTTCTCTTCCGAACTCCAGTTGCTAACTTGGAGGTTGTTCATTTTGAATAATCTGTATCATCCCTTATCTCTGGCCTTTTCTTCAGACTGCCAAAGAGGACACATTAAAATTATAATTATAATCTATTATTCTTTAAATAGTCTAGTCCTTTAAGAAAACATGGTTCCCCTGCAGGCCCCATAAAAATTATTGTGCCCAACAAAGATTGGGCCCAGGTTGACACCTGAATTTTTAAAAATCACACAAATGGGGACAGCTGTTGAAAAAAGTTGCTGCATGACTGCATGCTCATGTAGGCTAGCTACTACCATGATTTTTTGTTTTGTTTTTTTTGTCTGCTGAGTAGAAACCAGGTGCACAAAGGGAGATAATCACTACCTTACCTGAGAACCAGGTTCAGGATCAGATTGTCTGATGATTGCATCATCCAAATACCTAACTGTTTCACTAGGTCTTCTAATTTACAATACAGAAGCATGTTTGTCATACTATCCTGGGGCCTATTTATAGAAATTTGGGGTGAGGTTTAGAAGGTGGAAAGGGGGTGGGGGTTAGAATACTGTCCAAACTGGAATTTCCTAGAGAAGATTTTCTCACTTTTGTTGCTTCTTACATCACTTGGTAATCTATGTTGCATGAATTTTCAGCATATTTTTATAATTTGTATTTGGAAATGTAAGTAAGTGCCTTTATAAATTCTGCCATCCTTTAGTTCTCTTTTTTCCATAGGAGTCCTTTTCTCGCTGCTCAAATAGTATAATACTTAATTCATACACAACACAAGACATTCCTGTGTGCACATAATCACATTTATTTTTACTTTAATTTTGCAAAATATGTCTACTACAGTTTACAAATCTATGCTCCTAGCTGTCATCTGTCGTATAATTATAAGACATAGGCCACAGGCAGAAAGATTGTTTGCAATTCCTGTAATACAAATATTGGCATTTTGTTACAATAGTTTGTTATCTGAATATTCTTTGCAAGTTTAGTTTGTAGAACAATTTTACTTGCCTACTTTATAATTGTAGTTGTACAGTTTGGGCATATTGCTAGTTGTCACAGAAAGCGAGCTTGTTCTGAATACTGTATAACACAGATAGCTCGAATTCATCTGGACCGACCTCGGTAGTTCGAGCGCAAGGGATCCGTAGTTCGAAGGATATCTTAAAAAGATAAAGAAGAAAAAAAAAAAACAGGACTGTATGCACAGCTCTATGAATGTGTTATTTCAAGTCTTCTGTGTTCGACCTATCCGTGTTATACTGTATCTCCTTGTGGGGAGTGGCGTCTAGCTTCTTGCTAACAATTTTTAAATATTATTTTGATGTTTCTTAAGAAAAAAAACACATTTTCATTTACATTTTGTGTTTAGAGTCTGCTTAGAATGTCTACCAATGTCACTGATTTGCCTTTGAATTGATCTGTTTTGCAGAATTAAGAGATGAAGAGTTGTCATCTATTCCTGAATCCTTTCCACACACTGTGCCAAAAGAGAGACTGTGTCCAAGAAATATATGTGAGATGGATGAAAGTGATAGTTCGAGGTAAAAAACACTATGCATCAATTCACAAGCAAGATCGCAGAGTGTTTGTATTTAAAAACACCCAAAACAACGCCTTGTATATTCCTTATGAGTTCAAATTCAGTGATAATGTAAGTCAATTCAAGGTGAAAAATTTGAAAGGAGGATTTCAGAGACGTCCAGAATTGTTAGCACAGGGTGATGGGATCATGAGCGACAGGGTACATGCTGAGTCAGCCTTGAGGCATACCAGGACAAAGAGCATTCAGTCGGAACTAGTTATGTCAGCCTGGGGGATTCTGGAGACATTTACCTCGGAAGCTGAAAGAAAAGCTTCAAATGTTTCACAGTCTGAGAACCATAAGTTTGTCTTAGACATTGGATGTGGAGATGGACACAGTACCGTGCCGTTGATGTCTATGGCAGGTCCTGGTGTGTGTGTTGGTGTTGATGTAAATGAGGGTAGCCTCGTGAACTGTCGACAAAATATCCAGCGCACAAGAACAACTTTCTACACCTATCAAAAACCTGTGTGTGAAGCTGGGGGCAGAGCTACCGCCGGTTCTACCAACTATTTCCACAGCCGCTCCGCCAATGGAGAAAACATGACGTCATGTAGTAGTTGTGATTCTTTACGACTATCAAACTCTGCTGTGTCTGGACCTAAGGGTATCACTGCATGTATCTATTGTGGCAAGAGTGCGTCAAGACCGTCTGCTGCAGACGTTGTTCGATACGATATCAAACATGGCCTTCCCTTTCGCTCAGACTTGTTTGACATTGCTGTGAGCATCTCTTTCCTCCAGTGGTTGTTTTACGGAGACAGACATAAGCAACTAGATTTGTTTTTCTCATCGTTGCGGAGAGTGCTCAGGCCAAATGGGAAAGCTGTGATACAATTCTACCCTCGAAGTGCCAGGCAACTTTCGGACGCTGTCGACCATGCGTCTGCACATTTCCGTGGTGCTCTCATCGGGGACTATCCTCACCTGAACAGAGGGCGGAAACTTTTTCTATTGCTGTTTCCCACGAGTGATGCATTATGACACAAACGGAGATAAAAAAAATATGTGAATGTATTTCTTAGTTTTACACTTTTAGCTTGTTTATAATGATGATGATAATGATAGAAGTAGATTGGAAAAAGACTGACCGTGCTCTGCTGTCTGTCAACCATTTACAGGGCCTGGCTCACCCCGGACAAACCACCACGACCTTTAGAGCTAGATTTAATCATCACAGATACTCGGTACATTTGTACAGGTCAGAAACGGATCTCCCAGCAGTGATGGGTACCTGACTTCGAGTTGGGGAGTAAATGCGGCGTGTGGAAAGGAACTGGCCACCTACCACAATACATGTATATGTATGTCGAAGGCCCATGAAGTTGTCTCAAGCTAACAAGGCAGTCCCCAATGTCCGGGTCAGATGCGGGAACAACTTCTACTCGGTACAGCTCCTGCACCCAAGTCGGTGGCCAACATTTCAGTAACCCCTGGCCCCAAAGGAACCACTAACATGCAGCTTCAGGGTACAGAACGGGCGCTCTGCACTGAAGTAAACACCCGCTCTGACGGCCAGGACAGCCTGAACAAAACCGTCATTATGTGCTGCTACTTTTTGGATAACTTTTGTTTCATCCTTTACCCAGACCACATATTATTATTATGGTTGCTTTTAAGTACACTTGGGCTATCCCGAAAAATGATATTTTGAGAAAACCGAAGATAAAGTTTTTACCCCTTGTTCTGTTTCTTTTAAAGACAAGGAGAGTTTTCTCTATAACCAAGCAAATATACACACCAATGTGACCAAACTTCTCCTATAGGTAGGGCAATGCCCACTTTTGGTGTAGGTCAAGATTTCTGGAAACCCCCGAAATCTAGATTAGCTCGCTTGTCCTTAAAAGTGACCATATAAATTATGTGATTTATTGTATTAATTTCTTATCAATTCTAGTACAGACAGGAATTTCACATTGCCAGTTCACCTGCCATTGTGGCCATGTCCGTCTGTTGCGCCCCCCCCCCCCCCCCCCCCATCCCTTGCCATGCCACAATAGGCCTCAATCTTTGTCAGTCTCTGCTTTTTGAAGAATTACTTCAGGAAATTGTAAACCACTGTCGCATTTTATGTTTTCATTATTTTGCAATGTCTTCCCTTAATTTCTCTTTGCCTCTTCTTTGCTTGCCCTTAGCACAGTTGTCATTGGTCTAATCTCATTTGTAGGTCCTCAATGTGCATTGTATGAATATAAGCGGTCATTTGTAATGTTTACTTAATACTTGCTCATTCAGTGCAGCTTAAATTCAGGTGAAAGGTCAATTTGTTTTTCTTATGTGGACAGTCTCCTCTGACTAAGTAACCATGTTTCTGTCACTTCTTATTTATTTTCACCGTCTATAGGGATTGTCCAGCATTCAGTTTTATGCAAGGGTTGACAACACATAGCTGTTTAAAACCTAGATCTACAGTACTTGTATTTTGGTTTTCATTAAAATTTTTTTACTTTCAGGAATTAAATCATTTTGATGAAACTGTTGTAAACAGCCCTTACTTTTTTAGAATGTTAATTTTATTTGTTTTCATCTTAAATTATGAGATTACGAATTTGACTGCCTTTTTAAAAAAAAGATATTACATTGTACCAAGCATTCAGTTTTCTTTACACATTGGAAAATAACCCCTTACGTTCCCATTTTGTCTCAACAAAATCTAGAAGTAGAAGCAAAGGAGGGTCATTTTCTCAAATTTTCTGAATCTGCTTCATGTATTGAAACTATCATCAACCTATTATTATCTGATGTTATTCTTTTAATTTCTTCAGACATGGACTTTCTGCTAAGAATTGTTTCACTGTGCATGTTTTAAAAGTCTGGTGACATGACATAGCCTTACCGTAGTCCTCTTCAATTGTTTTAATATTTGCTGTACTTCCCTTGAGATTCGCAATGCAATATTCTGGTCCCAGTACAGATTCCTAATAAATTTTCAAGCCTTTCTATCTCTTGCATTTCCAAAATTTTAAATAGTTCACCATATCAAAAGCCTGTTCATGATTTTTTCAATAAAGCATTTTTTTTAAAGTAGATCTTTCTTTGCCTCTGAGCATCTTTCCATTAACTTTACTTTAGTAAGGCAAGGTGACAATATATAGCTTTTCGGGTAGGCCTACCCTATCCAGGAACAAAGCCAAGTTGTGTATTAGGTAGCTCTAGTCTAAAACTTTTTCTTCTTCTTTCTATTATTACTCGGCAGTTAATTTTTTGTAGAATTACTTTTAAGGCTTGAGAACCAGAGTGTACAATGAAACCTGCTCTAACTCTAACGGCCACCTGTCTAAGACAATTACCAATACAAACCACCACTTCCCCGCTTACCTTTTCAAAATATTAAAATATCATAATCACACAGTCGGAGACTGGAGACGTCCACCTGTGTAAGACTACCACTTTTCTCCTCGTCAGAGGGTGGCTGTCTTGGACTGTTGAAGTAAACACACACACACACACATACAGTATCTGTACAATAGTCTGATTATCATGAAAGGAAGGTCCGAACACAGTACCTTCTGAGAAGCAGCAAAGATTTATTGTACAGAGAGGAAAATTCTACCCCTTAAATCAGAAATGCAAAGCACAAAAGAAGACAAAATCCTGAGGCGAGAGGGAAAAAAGGCAAAAATCCAAGTAAAGCGCGGAGAAAAACATAGATCTATAAATTATGTAAAAATGTTTTGCTAAGACAGCAACCCAAAACACAACCGTATCTGGAAGTAAGTACATGTATAAAAATGTCTCACGTACAATAATCTGGTGAAAAAAAACCCAAACATCTTTATACATGATGGCATGCACAATTTTAGCATTAATAGTAGTGTTCAGATCAGAGAAAAGTGTAAACTTGTCAAGGTAAAAAAAAAGTTGTTAACATTAAGATTTTCTTTGATTCATCAACACAATTATAACATATTGTTTGGCTGCCTCAATCTTGGGGAAACATCACATGTGAAGAGAGTAACATTTAAGCCAGCCTTAAGTACACTATTGTAAGTAAAAGAATTTGTTCTCGTCAAAAGGGCATTTAAAAAAATGCTGCTACATGCTATGTGTATTTCTACGACCTTTTTTTAATTAAGATAAATTCGTCAATTCTTTGGTTCCTGAAATTTTTTGCGTGACTTCCATTAGGAACCTCATAAACAAATAAACCTTGAGTAGGCCAACTATAACTTAACATATTATTTACTTTTCCGCATTTTTTTCTCTAGAGTCCAAGGAAAGACATTGAATCAAATTTGGTAAAATCAGTGTTGGTGCCTCAAATCTCAACACCTGTTTTAAAAAAATCAGATGTAAGTAGATCTCAAGTATCCCACACACAACAACATGCTGTGCATGCAATCAATGATAAATCAAAACATGTACTCATAAGGCAATGTTGGCAATGGTAAAAACACCACTTCCTCCATGGCTGACTGTTATCATTAACTACCCTCTGGGAATTTGAGAGATTTTTTTATCAAAGCTTATTAAAAGAAATAATTATTGAGGCATGCTGACAAAATAGGGTACTTCCGGGAACTTAGCCATACATGGAAATAGATACACTGAATTTATAGGTGGAATCTGTACAATTTATCAATATAAAATGATAAAAACATGTTACACTAGAAGAAAATGGTATCAATTGAAATTTATAAATTTAGCCTCAATGTTGCTCCATTACTCCATTACATGTAGTAGATTGGGAAAAGTAACAAATTTTGTCATCATGTCTCACATTTGATCAAAACGTGTACATTTGTAAATGATAAAATGTGAATGGCAAAGAAAAAATACTGAAATGAGGAAATCAAGTGTTGTTTAGTTTATCTTGGTGATGGCAGCGAGAATAAAAAAATATTGGGGGGGGGGGGGGGGTGAAAGAGAATTGTTTTTTCCAGCATGTCATTTCTATGTTTTGCCAACTGACTTTTTAATACTACTAGCAAATAAAGCTGCCCATGACACTTTTGTAAATAACAAAAATCGAACTGAAAATGATTTTGGAGATTTCCAAAAGGACCTTGTGGATATTGTAAAATTGTAGTTGATCTTACTTGATGGATGTGGAAAAAAAACGTTTTTCTTTCAAACAATGAACAATGTTATATTTCTAATATTACTAACATAACATTTATAACATAACCGCCTCTTAAAAATAACCTAATGGTAACAGAGTCAAAACAATACACCTACTCCCTTATAACATGATATACCATCAAATAGTGTTCAGTGAGAAAATATTTGACAGCACGGGCCCTCAGTAGAGTGGAAGCAACTGTGTCCATGACTATATATATATTATATATATTATATATATATATTGGATAGACCTTGTTGATATCGCTATATGTTTCTTTAATTTTATAGAACAGGCGGGATACAAATAAACATGTTTATATCGTATAGATCTTATTGATATCACTCTATATTTCATTAATTTTATGGAGCAGACCTGATAGTATGACCGAACAATAAATAACTTATAAGTTTATACTGTATAAATCATGTTCATATCACTACATATTTCAATTATCTTATAAATGGAAATAGGCCTGATACAAATATCTGAACAATTACGGTATCATGTTTATACAGTGAAGATCTTGTTGATATTGCTATATATTTCAATAATTTGATTTATGGAACAGGCCTGATGCAAATAATTGGACAATAAACTTGTTTATACCGTGTATGGTCTTGATATCACTAATATTTTATCAATATTATGGAACAGGCCTGATGCAAATAAATGAAGAATAAACATACCGTTACTGACCTAGTTAATGATAATATATTGCTATATTTCAGTAATCTTAAGGAACAGACTTGATATATAAAAAAAGGAACACACTTGAAATGAGCAAAATACTGACAGGAAGGGTGTAATTTTTCAACAATATAATAACAGGTAGATTTTTATAACTCCTTGGAATGTTGTACTCATAACTATTATATGTAGGAGGAAAATGGTGAAATGAGATTCTGAGATGCATTTACAGTGAAGTCTGTACTGTTAAATTTGACCACATCTGTGGTTCCACAGGATTGTCCTCAGTGTAACCGTGTTTTTGGATTAGCGAGATTGCTCAAATAGAATAAGGGAAGAAAAAAAATTGAAGATTTTGTTTCTTTCAGTTTACCACCAGTTTTCTGATTAACCATGTTCGGTTTAAAGTAGACTTCACTGTAACTTGTAACTGTGAAAATGAAATCCAAGATTATACATGTAATGTATGTGCCACTGTTCATTATGCTTGAGGAGCAAAAGACCTGAACTTGAGCAATACACATTATGCTCAAAATTACACACGTATATTTCCTTTTTAAAAATTTATTGAGATACTTTAAAGCAGCAGATTCTGTTGCGATCTTGGTTCTGCATAGTGTATGACAAGAGTGTTC